GTGAGAATTTGATGGAATGGATAACTCGCAAGCATCTTCAATTGGCCACTTCTGTAATGGATAACTTTTTAGTCCCTCCAAAACCAAAACTACCGCCAACAAGGGATAGTAAGGTGGTTTTCTTTTAAATAAAAATTAGGTTAGTGATTTTTTTTTTTTAACTTACTAAGAAGGATATCATACTTTGGTTTTGGGCTTGGTAAATGGAGTTTGAATTTTTTTTGGTAATAGGTCAATGAAATTAAGCAACTCAAACAAATAACACATAAAAGAGGTTGGTGTTTGTGATTGAAGGTGAAGGTTCAAGTCCACAATGTATTCTGTTGTGAAGTTTTTCTTCATGACGAAGAAAAATTCACATTCAAAAGCGAAAGCAGCTTTGATACCCAAAAGGAGAAAAGGAAAAAGCAGATGACTTTGATTTTACCAATCAAAACACTGGCCCAATTTCCACAAGCCAAAACTAAAGGGAAGGGAATCAAACTCGAATTCAATGCCGTGGTGATCAGATGAGTGATGATATGTGACTGGCACTGCAGGGTGTAAGCAAACCCAGCAACCCAGCTTCCTTATCAAAAACACGATCAGCAGTGATGTTGAAAGCTCCCATTGGCCTCCCAGATCCCGATGTTCCGCCAAATGCTGAACTCTCTGATCTCGATCTTGCCATCCTTGAAGAGATTCGGAAACTTGATGCCCGCCTTGATAAAATTCGGAAACTCAACCCCGCCCTGCTTGATAAGATTCGAAAATTCGACCCAGACGTCCATGATGAGCTTTATAACAATCAGGTATATCTCTCTTCTTTTTCCTTCAGCATTTGCATATGTATGTTTATGGTTGGAAGATTGAGACTTTTTATCATATTAATTGAACGTGTCCAAGGACAAGATGAAGGAAAGGGAAGGGTTGGCAGCAGAGAAGCCAGGCCAGACAGAATGCAAGGTTATTTTCGTTATGATTTCTCAGAAACTTTCTATCTCAGGTTATGGTTTTTACTCCAATTGTTTGTTCCTCATGTCTAGATTTTGTTTTTCTTCATATATTTGGTATTAAGTAGTATCTCACTTTTTTGTGTTTTGATGATGGGGTATAACACTTGAGCTTGTTGCAGGATTATTCCAGGTCAGGAGGACGTAAATATGAAAAAGCTTGTAGTTTAAATCCCGGAAGAGGGGAACCTTCTGTAGCTCCAATTCTAGAATGTAACTTTCTGGGCCTGCCAATTCGGCCGGTATGAATTCTAGGTTTGATCTGCAAAATTTTGAGGAATGAATATCTATTCATAATGTTTAAGATTTATGATTTATCCTTGCTTATTTTATTGGTCTGCTACCTGAATATTTATTTGAACTTGTTACAGGGGAAGAAAGACTGTTCCTTCTATATGCGAAATGCCTCCTGCATGTTTGGTACAAACTGCAGGTTTAATCACCCTGATCCTGCAGCTGCAAGAGAATCTGACCCCCCATCTGGATATGGTAATGGCGGATCTGCATCTTTACAAGGTGCATCGTCATCAACAGCAGCACCATGGTCTGCACCAAGATCATTGAATGATGCTCCGCTTTATGTGCCAATGGCGATTCTGCATGTTCAGATAGGAAGCTGGGGTAATTCAGATGGGGTTTGGGCCCAATCAAAGGAAGGAAACAAAGATGAAGCAAGTGGCTGGACAAAACCTGCTTTTATTAATGAGAATCAGAATGACAGTTGGAAGAAACCAAGTGGTGTAGATGACAATAATGGGCTTCCTGGGGTAAAGCAGATGGAGGTTCTACTTGGACTAAACAAGATGGAGATGCTACATGGAATATACAAGGTGAAGGTTCTACTAGGAATAAACAAGATAGCAGTTCCGCTTGGAATAAACCAGCAGGAGATTCTTCTTGGAGTAAACAAGCTGGAGGGTCTTCATGGGGTAAACAAGCTGATGTAACAGCAGGACATGAGTCTGGCGGAGTGGGGAATCAAGATAATGGTTGGAAGAGAGCAAGTTCTTTTGGTGGCAGTCAATCAATAGATGGTGTGAATGGAGACCAACCTGAGGATTTCAATAATAATCGAAGTGGTGGGAATTGGAGAGGTGGTTCAGGTAGAGGAAATTCAGACAGAGGAGGTTTTAGAGGTGGACGGGGTTTTGTAGGTAGAAGAGGTGATAGAGAGGAGGATAGAGGGGGTTTTGGACGTAGATGGGGTTTTGGTGGTAGAGGTGGAGACAGAGGGAGCTTTGGTGGTAGAGGTAGATCAGACAAAGGAGGGTTTGGTGGTAGAGGCTATGGAGGAAGAGGCCGTGGGGGGTATCAAAGTGGTGGTTGGAGCAATAGAAATGAATCTATTGATAATAACTCATCAGGGTGGAGCAAAGGGGCAGACGGTGCTGGCGAGGGATGGAAAAGGGACAATGGTGGAGGAAGTTGGAACCAAGGAGGTGGCAGTAAGAACGATTGGCAGGGTAGGAACTCTAGCGGATGGAGTAGCCAGAGCTCCGGTTGGAACCAGTCTGATGTGACTAAAGGAATTGGTGGTTCAGGATCAGGTTGGAATCAGACAGTGGAGGCAAAATATACTGCTGGCACTCAGGACAAGGGAACAGGTTCTCATAATGAAATGGGCAGAAGCTGGGGAAACAATTGGAAATCATCAGATGCTTCTAATGGGGACCAATCATCTAGGTGGAAACAATCGACTGCCGCCAAAGAAGTCAAAGGAAACACTGATCAAAACAGCGGCTGGAACAAGGGACCGAGCTCAAACGCACAAGCTGGGGGCTGGGGCAACCAGGGTTCAGGTTGGAACAAAGGAACAGGTTCAGGATTTGGAGGCGGTACCGGAGAGCAACCAAGTGCTGCTGTTGGAGGTCAATCATCTGACTGGAAGCAATCAAGTGCTGCAAGCGGGGCTCAATCCTCTAGCTGGAATCAATCTGGTGAGGCAAAACAAGGAACTGATGAAGGTGCAAAACCGACTAATTCATGGGGCAAAGCAGCAGCAGCAAGCTCTTGGGAGCAAGGGTTCTGATGGTGGAAGTAGCAAAGGAGGGTGATGATCAAATCACGTCTTAAATGGTGTAGATACTGCTTTGTCTTTTGCAGAGCTAAAAGGATCTTAATTTAAACCCCCGTATCTATTGACAATGGTTGAAATTTTGGATGAACCCCAATCTTGGCTAAACTATCCCTTTGTCAACGTTCAAGCTTTTCTTAAAAAAGATGATGATTCCACCATATCAAAGGGATTCCTTCCTAAAATACAGAATGGAATGGTTCGGTACTTTTATTCATCACTCCCATATTATAGTCTTCAGTTTGACTAACTATCCTCACTTTGATACACCAATTAACATTTCTTAAGGGATAAGATTTCAAATAAATCTTTTTTGTGTTAACCTTTTTGTTCTATGTCATTTTTTATTCATTTTTCTCATGAAACTAGTAGTATGACCTCTCTCTCTCTCTCTCTCTCTCTCTCTCTCTCTCTCTCTCTCGCGTGCATTCAACAAGTATAATAGGAGTACTACTGTTCTCTTTTTCATTTTCGCATACATGGTTTTCCCTTCAAATTACTTTGGAAAAAGCAAAAGGAGAGAGAAGTTTTTTAAAAGAAGTCAAAATGGACAAAATTGCCCTAATTTATTTTTGGATTTCCTAAGGAATCCTTTACATTTGCATGTCTTTGATTTGAAAGTTGAGAGGTTTTTCTGTTTTTTTTTAAAAAGCTTTGTCTTTTTTCAAAAGTGAAATTTTTTTTATGTCTAAAACCTAAATTTACTTTAGAGGTAATTGCAAAGATCACCATCCAAAAAAATCAGACAGCGGTGTCCCCCTCGTGTGCACTGAGTGCCAAGGGCCTTCTTTTGAGAACAGTAAGTTCACTCTTCTTTGAATTGTGCTTTCTAAAGTGAATACATAATTATGGAATATGATCTAACAAGTATCTGCTTGAGAACAGTAAGTTCACTCTTCTTTGAATTGTGCTTTCTAAAGTGAATAAATAATTATGGAATATGATCTAACAAATACCTGTTGTACAATATTTTAAGTGATTGAATCATTGGAAATTTCAAAAATTTGCAAATTTTTAGTGTCCTTTGGATATATTAGCTAAGGTAAATTACTCAAATGGTCCTCAAACTTGTACGCGATTTACATTTTTGTCCCTTAATTAAATTATTCGTTCAAATGGTACATAAACTCTATTTTAATCGCCCATTTGATCCAACCGTTACATTTTCTGTGAGTTTTTAATAAGTCAACGCCAATGGTGGGGTCTAGGATGGGTATATGCGTCTTTTTAAACCTCAAAAGGCTTTGATTGTCTTCTCCAATTAGCCAAAGACGTCGTCTTCAGTTCGTGAAAAAGGAGGTGCGAAGGCAACAACAATGATTTTGGAGTTGTTAGGGTTCCTATTTGGTGGTTTTGCAGGAATTTTTGGATTTCGATCATTGTGGATGCTCGTCACTAATGGAGTTCGAGTTCTGTTGGGGTGGAGAGAATCCCAAATACGGTAAGGGATTCTCTCTGTCTGTATTTTGTATTCATCTTGTTTTGCGAATCAATGCTTTTTGTTTGCAAGTGTGTGGTCCAAAGTCAGTTTCTTTATGTTGAAAAGATTCTCTGGCATTTTATTTCCATTATGCTGGCATTTATTGCAAAGTATAGTTTTTTATGTTTGGTGTGGTCCCTTTGTTATCTGCTTCACACTTAATTCACTATTAGCATTGAGTGAAACTATAAAAAAAAAAATTAAAACCCTAAACCTGTAGCATTAGATAAAGGAGATGTGTGTGCAGCTAACTTTGAAATTTGATGTGTACTTTTTGCAGCTATCTCTGACAGAGTCACTTTTGAACTACACCATGTTTGAAAATGGGGTTTATAAAGGTGGTAAAGTCTGTTATTTAGATAATGTTGTTGATGACTTTCTGTCATTGCTGGATTTAAGGAAGATAGGGAAAGAGTTGGGGTATAGAATAGATGTTTCGAAAATTGAGTAAACTATGGAGATTAGGTATAGAAAGGCTGGGGAAAAGGATGGTAACATATTGGAGCTTATTACCTCTGATGCTAAAGTAGTTGAAATGGTTGGATGCATGTCATGTAATAGGGTTCTTGTCTTGTACTATACAAATTTGGAAAATTCAAATGGTAATGGGCTTGGGAGTCAAGCATCTGTTGCATGGCCTAGTTTGGATAATGCAGAATATAACTATGATACAAATGTAGAAAATGATGGGAAAGGTGTCACATGGCACGCATTCAGTGAACCAGGGGATGCAGATGCAAATGTAGAAGTTGGAAATGAAGGGGAAAATGAGGCTGCAGTAACTGAGAATGGAGAGGCTGGAAATGAAGGGGAAAATGAGGAAAATGATGCAGAATTTGTGGATAGTGATTATGAATTCAGTGAACAAGAGGATGAGGTGCTTGTAACTGAGAATGTGGTAGTTGGGGGCCCAAGTGGTGAGCCCAATGCATGTGAGAATGATGGGCCTACTGTTCAGCCCCATGAACATGAGAAAGTTGGGCCTACTTATGAAGCTTCAGGAAAGGTATCATCAGATGGTGCTAACACATCGGATTTGGAGATAGAAAGTGATGAAGAGGATCAGGATCAGGGTAATGGTGAGGAAAAGGGCAAAAGAAAGAAAAAAAAATTGTCAAAGTTGAAGGAGTACAGGAGATAGGTTGATTTAAGGAATCCAGAGTTTAGGATGAGAATGTGATTTGCAAACAAAATGGTATTGAAAGAAGTTGTGAAGGAGTATGCAATTATAAATGGCAAGTTGCTAAAATTCAAAAAAAATGACAAAGTGAGGCTCCAGCTAGTATGTGTGGGAGGACTGAAATATCCATTTTATTTATATGCTTCAAAGATAGATAAAAGTGAATCTACATTTGTAATCAAAACTATGAGCCTAGAACACACTTGTGGGAGGATCGACAAGTTGAAGTTGAAGAGAGACACAGACTTGGATGTAAAATCATTGCAAGAGGATGTTTTGGAGGATTATTGTATGATTGTCACAAGACATCAAATATACAGGGCCAAAAAGAGGGCCAAAGTAATGATTGAAGGGAGTTACATACAACAATATGCTAGGTTAAGGGATTATGCAGAGGAATTGAAGAAGGCAAACAAGGGAAGTACAGTTGTAATTAAAACTGAACAAGTAGGGGGCCAAGCTATATTTCTAAGGATGTATGTTTGCTTCGCTGGTTGCAGGCAAGAGTTTTTAGATGGATGCAGACCAATTATTGGTGTTGATGGGTGCAACGTAAAAGGTCCTTATCCTGGCCAGATTTTGACAGCAGTTGGGGTGGATGGCAACAATGGCAGTTTCCCAATTGCTTATGAAGTTGTTGAGATTGAAAGCAAACAATTGTGGATCTGGTTTCTTAGGCTGTTGATTCAAGATCTAAAGATTACAAATGATTTGTCATATATGTTCATTAGTGACAAGCAAAAGGGACTCATACCTGCAATTGAGACTCTACTTCCAACTGCAAAGCGCAGGATGTATGTTAGACACTTATATAATAACTTCATATCATCACACTCTGGTCTTGCTCTAAAACACCTATTGTGGGCTGCAGCAAGAGCCACAACTATGCCTTGGTGGGAAGCAAAAATGGAAAATATGAAACAAGAGGATGAGGAAGCGTGGAAATGGCTCAGTCAGAGACCTACAAAGAATTGGAGCATATCTCACTTTAATACACGGTTTAAGTGTGATCTGTTGTTGAACAATCTTTGTGAAAGTTTCAATTTAGCAATAATAGATGCAAGAGATCAATCCATTTTGACTTGCTTGGAGAGGATAAGAGTCCTTGTGATGCTTAGGATGACAAATAGAAGGGTTGCATGCCCGAAATGGAAACATTCAGTTGGGCCAAGAATCTTCAAGATAATTGAGAAGAACAAGTTAGATGCCTCCACATGCATTCCTCGACTGGCTAGCTTGCAAACATATTAAGTGACCCACATGTATGGTGGAGAATTTGTTGTGGATCTTAGGGCAAGGACATGTTCTTGTCGGAGGTGGGATTTATGTGGGTACCATGTGGCTATGCAATTTCTGCAATTTTTCAAAGGGATGAAAGCCTCATTGATTATGTGGATGAATGTTACAAGCCTGTAACTTATATGAAGTCATATGAACCAATGATTCACAGCATCCCTTCAATGGATCAGTGGGCTAAATATGGGCATCCTCCAATACAACCCCCAAATGTTAGGGTACATCTAGGAAGGCCCAAAAAAATAGGTCCAAAGAACCTGTTGAAATTCTTGTACCACCACCACCCCCACCACATCCAATGCCTCCAAATTATGTTCAACCAAGAGACAAGCTTAGAAGACTTTTTATTAAGATCACATGTAGGAGATGTGGTCAAAGTGGCCATAATAGGGCAACTTGTGACAGACAGAGCTCAGAAAATCAACATGTAATTATTTATTATGCAAATTTAGAGTCGTTACATATTTTGGAAGTAATAATTCATGTGCTTTTGCAGGCAAATGCATCTTCTGCCCAAAAAGAGGTCCACACTAAGGGAGGGGCAGTTAGAGTGAGGGGCAGTGGATGAAGAAGAGGAATAGCCAATGAGGCTCCAGCTGTTGCAAAAGAAGTTGCTACCTCTTCACAACAAAGTGTACGTTTTTTGGGGTATTTTTCTTCAAATATGCTGTCTCACAAATTTGCAATTTAGTTGCGAATTTATATTGGTCCTCTTTGTTTAGGTGGCAAGAGGTATAAGAGGTTGGCCAAGAAGTATGCTAAGAGATATGAGAAGAGGGTTGGCTAGAGGAACAGGAAGAGCCAATGTGGCTCCAGCTGTTGCAATTGAAGTTGCTACTTCTTCACAACAAAGTGTATGTTATTTAGGGTTTATTTTTCAAATATGCTCACTTACTTTTTTGCAATATAATTCAGAACTTATATTGGTCCTCTTTCTTTAGTTGGTAAGAGGTGTGGGAAGAGGTTTGCCAAGAACTATGATCAGAGGTTTGGCAAGAGGAAGGGCAAATATACCATTGTCACAGTCAGCTGCACCCACACAAGAGAGCTCAAATCCATCTTCAACTTCTGTCACTGCCCAACCTGGTTCCATATTCAAACTTCCAGCTATTAGAGGGGGCACATTCAAATGGGCTACTATTAAAGGAGGAACATTCAAAAGGACTACTATTAGAGGAGGAACATTCAAAAGGCCTACAGAAGTTCTATCACAACCATAATCATTCACAAGGCTGGGGGGATCATATATATTTTGTGTAATTTGGGATGTGAATTTTGTTCAGGATATGCATTTTGGTTATGTAAAGGCCCTGCATTTTGGCTTACAGTACAAACAATAGGATCACAGCTTTTGGGATGTTATTTTGTGGATTCACATCCTTTGGATTAGAGTTACACTCTACCTTTTGGTTTAGGTTCTGTAATTTGGGATGTAATTTTATGGAATCACAAATTGTGGATTAGAGTTAACTCTACATATTGGTAATGGAATTGGTTTATGCTGTGCAATTTGGTTTTGGAATTGGTTTTTGGCTATGGGATTGGTTTTTGGTTATGCAATTGGTTTTTTGTTATGGAATTGGTTTTGGTTATGGAATTGGTTTTCCTTTATGGAATTGGTGTGGTTTTTGGTTATGGAATTGGTGTGGTTTTTGGTTATGGAATTTGTTTACCTAAAATACTCCACAAACTATTTCATAGCTAACAAACACCACATTACATTCATACTTATAATCCCATTACAAACCTAAAAGGCCATTACAGACCTAACATTCATAGCTAAATCTTTCTACTCATCACCAAAATTACAAAAAACACCATGAAAGGATCAAAGCAAACCCGAATTTCAATTGTCTCTGCTTAATCCATTCCAATTCCTTTTTTCCTTTAATAACAACACCCACTTTCTCTTCCAATTTTTTCTTCTCTGCTTCCATTAATCTCAGTTGCTCATCTCTTGCTCTAATTTCTTCCTCCATACCTCTGAGTCTTCTAAGCAATACAGGAAGCACTTCCTTTCCTCTTGGACATGTTTCATTATCCAGCCATTCAAAGAAATGATGTCTTGTTTGGCTATTCTGCACATCATTTGTTACACACAATCAATCAGAGCCCAGCACACCATTCAATTCTTCACTTAAACATAACAAAACCCTTACTCTATCTTACCCGATTTTGGTTGCATGCCTCAAACCTTCTTCTCGAGTTCAGATCTGTCCATGAAATGCGCCATTTAATCTTCATCCCACAAAAGCAATACTGATAGGATCAAGTTGAATCTGTTGAACTTTCAGACATTGCAGCCTTCGTTGAAGAAGAAGGTGGATTCCTCGAATGGTGCCTTTGTCGCTTCAAGAGTTGGCTATTCTACACGGTTTGGATGGTTTTACCCTTAAATTTGACGGCAACATTGACAGAACCTAACGGTTGGATCAAATGGCGATTAAAATAGAGTTTATGCACCATTTGGACTAATAATTTAATTGAGGAACCAAAATATAAATCGCGTACAAATTTGAGGACCATTTGAGTAATTTACCCGTGCCTCGAAAGTATTCATTACTAATACAAATTTAACCCTGGGAAGAGATTGTAGTGAAAGTTGTCGACATGTCTCTTCTTTTAAAAAAATTTGGTGAAGAAAACCGACATGTCTCTTTCGACATGAAGATTCTTGACTATGAGAGCCTGATCACGTATTACACTTAATTATATCATGCCATTTATCACACAAATTTTGTACTAACTTTGTTTCAAATACCAGTGTCAGAACGTTTGCACACAATACCATAGCTATGTCATTCACAATATTCAACTTCCATTAGCATCTCTATTGCATTTTCGCATGCATGCTTTTCCCTTCAATTTTTATTTTTTTGGTTGTGCTATGTTTAGGCTCCAGAATATCTAACAGAAAAAAGCATGTCTGCACCTCCACCCTTTGTTATGAATCACTCAGTCACTGAGACCAATTCCTATGAACAACATCCACAGCAGAAGCAAGTTGAAGAACTCCCAAAACGATCTAATTGCAAATATCAGTATCCAAATAATCACATTGCAGTGTCCTGAGTGACAAGGGCCTCCCTTTGGGACCAGTAAGTTCACTCTTCTTTGAATTGTGCTTTTTAAAGTGAATGCATAATTATGGAATATGATCTATCAAGTACCTGTTGCGCAATTTTTATTTTTATTTTTTAACACGGAATAATTGGACAATTCAAAATTTTGCAAGTTGTTATGTTCCTTTGGATAAATCAGCAATGTGCCACGAAAATGTTCATTGCCGACACAAATTTGACCTTGGGAAGAGATTGTAGTGAAAGTTGTGGACATGTCTTTTTTTTTTTCTCTCTTTCAGCAGAAAGATTCTTGACTAACTATGACTCTGAGAGCCTGTGTTTGATCACATATTACGCTTCATTATTCAATGCCATTGATCACACAAATTTTGTTTCAAATCCCAGCGTCAGAGCATTTGCACACAATACCGTAGCTGTAGGATTTTCCATAATCAACTTCCATGGGCATCTCTTTTGCATTTTCGCATGCATAGTTTTCCCTTCAATTTTTTTGTTGTTGTGCCATGTTTAGGCTTTAGAATATCTTCCAGAAAGAAGCATGCCTGCCCCTCCACCATATGTTATGAATTACTCGGTGACTGAAACTAACGCCTATGAACAACGTCCACAGCAGAAGCAAGTTGAACAACTCCCAGAACGACCTGGGCTATCCAATTGCAAATATCACCATCCAAAAAATCAGACTGCATTGTTCCCCTCATGTGCACTGAGTGACAAAGGCCTCCCTTTGAGACCAGTAAGTTCACTCTTCTTTGAATTGTGTTTTTTTTTAAGTGCATGCATAATTATGGAATAGGATCAAACAAGTTGCTGTTGCACAATTTTTTGAAGTAAGGGAATAATTGGGAAGTTCAAAATTTTGCAATTTTTTAGCTTCCTTCGGATAAATTAGCAATGTGCACCACGAAAATGCTCATTACCAGTCCTTTGTATTGAGCATAAAGATTCTTGACTAACTATGAGAGCTTATCTTTGATCACGTATTACGCTTTATTAGTGCATGTCATTGATCACAATTTTGTTTCAAATCCAGGGCTAGAACATTTGCAGACAACACAGTACCTATGGCATTTGCAATTCTGGGCCAGCTTGTAAATTTGACCATCCGTCGTTATCAACTTCCCTTCTGCGACGCGGTGACTACAAATGGGGCAGGGAACATCTGGAAGTAGAAGTAGAAGTGATGCTACAATCAGTCGCAGCCTCTGTAATAAGTTTTGCATGAAATCTGAAATGGATGCTAGAGCACAGGATTCGCATAACCAAGGACATGCAACTCCTTTTATGTTATTTAGTCTTGGAAATGTATCAAACTTTTTATCCCAGCTGCCACAGGCCTCTCAGTTTCAGATGTGAGAACTTGATGGAATGGATAACTTGGCGAGTATCTTCAATTGGTCACTTCTGTAATGGATAACTTTTTAGTCCCTCCAAAACCAAAACTACCGCCAACAAGGGATAGAAAGGGGGTTTTCTTTTAAATAAAAATTAGGTATTGGTTTTGGGCTTGGTAAATTTTTGTTGGTAATAGGTCAATGAAATTAAGCAACTCAAACAAATAACACATAAAGGAGGTTGGTGTTTGTGATTGAAGGTGAAGGTTCAAGTCCACAATGTTTTCTGTCGTGAGTTTTTCTTCGCGACGAAGAAAAGTTCACGTTCAAAAGCGAAAGCAGCTTTGATACCCAAAAAGAGAAAAGGAAAAAGCAGATGACTTTGATTTTACCAATCAAAACACTGGCCCAAATTCCACAAGCCAAAACTAAAGGGAAGGGAATCAAACTCGAATTCAATGCCGTGGTGATCAGATGAGTGATGATATGTGACTGGCACTGCAGGGTGTAAGCAAACCCAGCAACCCAGCTTCCTTCATCAAAAACACGATCAGCAGTGATGTTGACAGCTCCCATCGGCCTCCCAAATCCGGACGCTCCGCCAAATGCTGAACTCTCTGATCTCGATCTTGCCATCCTTGAAGAGATTCGGAAACTCGATGCCCTCCTTTATAAAATTCGGGAACTCGACCCCGCCCTGCTTGATAAGATTCGAAAATTCGACCCAGAAGTCCTTGATGAGCTTCGGAAAATCGACCCTGCCCTCCTTGATGGCCTTCGGAAAATCCACCCGACCCTCCTAGACGAGCTTCGCAAAGTCGACCCCGCCGTCCTCCAAGAGATGCAGCTCGAGCCTGCTGAATGGGATCCTGCCATCATTGGTGCGATTCGTAAATTGTATTTGAAATTAAGGGAGGAAGATGAAGAAGTGGCCGAGAGGAATACTTGTAGCGGGCACCAAACTGCAAAAGAAAACGAAAATGGAAACCAGAAGACACAGAGCGAAGAGACGGATGGAGGAGGAGGAGGAGAAAATAAGAATGACAATGGCGGTGAGGTGATGAAGATTGGTGAAGAAAGAAGCAGAAGCCAGCATTATCCAGTGAGGCCTGAAGCTGGAGAAGGAAAAACAGGAAGGAAAAACAGGAAAAACAGGAAAAACAATCAGGTATATCTCTCTTCTTTTTCCTTCAGTATTTGCGTATGTACGGTTTTTACTGCAAAAGTTTGATCTTCGTGTCTAGATTTTGTTTTACTTCATATATTTGGTATTAAGTTGTATCTCAGTTTTGATAATTGTGTTTCTGAGTTGGTTATCTGGTTAGCATGCATAATTGAATAAATAAGCTAAAACCTTTTAACTTTTAGACAACTATAATATCATTAGGTCTTGAACATATTTGTTCATATTGTTTGGGAAGGTAAGTCATCTGTTTTGATCAACTTATAGTAACTAGTTAGTTAATTTATTATTGGATGGGTCTTCCCGACAATTGTATAGTGTTTCATGACAATCGCTTATTGCTTCTTTATACAGTTATTACAATTATGTTTTTAGATGTCAATGACAATTCTTTCCTTTTGTACCTTGTATTCAAATCTGTGCAAAGTGAATGTGGACTAGTAACAGTTTCAGGATGTTATAACACTTGAGCTTGTCGCAGAATTATTTCAGGTCAGGAGGACAGTGTCCAAATCTCTACGCTTCCCCAAATCCAGGTAATGACGACGTGCTTTCCCCAAATCCTGGTAAAGTCGACACGGTCCTACAGGTTGACCCTGCTGAATTGGATCCTGCCAACATTGATGCGATTTGTAAATTGTCTTTGAAAGAAAAGGAGGAAGGTGAACAAGAGGTCGAGGTTAGTTGTAGTAGGCCAGAAACTGAAATCAGAAACAAAAATGGAAACAAGAGACAGAGTGAAGACAGGGATGGAGGAGGAGGAGGAGAAAATAAGAATGAGAATGGTGGTCAGGTGGAGAAGAAGGTTGATGATGAAAGAAGTAGAAGACATCATTACCCAGTGAGGCCTCCTGGAGCTGGAGACTCTTCGCATAATCTAAAGACTGGGACTCATAAGTTTGGGTCCAATTGCAAGTTTAACCGCACTAGTAGAAGCAAAAACAATCAGGTATATCTCTCTTCTTTTGCCTTCAGCACTTGCATATGTATGTTTATGGTTGAAAGATTGGGACTTTTTATGTTTGCCTGGCCTCAATTATCATTATTTGGGCTGAGAAATTTCTGGCAGAAAAACTATGCCTTTCTATAGGTTTATTGGTTTGGTCGTTAGTGTTATTGTATGTGTGCATGTATTATAAATTATAATGTATTGATCAGTTAGTGTATTATGCTGTGATAATGATGACTTTTTTCAGCAGAATTGACTCGAAATAAAGGAACGCACCACTTTCAAATTTGCTAAAAATATTGCCATAGAAGAGATTTTTGTGTTGATTCCATGCTTGTTACTTTTTGTTGTAGCTGAAAGCCTGAAACTGGTTTGTCTCATTTACATACATCTTTGTGGTGAAACTTGTTGTGCCAGAGAAATGGGGATTTTTGGTCTACCTTAGTGTTTGAGACATTAATGTTTCTGGCCTTGTATGATTGCAGGAAATATTTCTGTTCTTGCTGCTCACTTTCTGTTTGTTGGTGTTTTGAAATTTATTATATTAATTAAAGGTGTCTAAGGACAAGATGAAGGAAAGGGAAGGGTTGGCAGAGAAGCCAGGCCAGACAGAATGCAAGGTTATTATCGTTATGATTCTCAGAAACTTTCTATCTGAAGTTATGGTTTTAACTGCAATTGTTTGATCATCATGTCTAGATTTTGTTTACTTCATATATTTGGTATTAAGTAGTGTCTCACTTTTTTGTGTTTTGATGATGATGTTTATGAGTTGGTTATCTGGTTAGCATGCATAATTGAATAAATAAGCTAAAACCTTTTAACTTTTAGGCAACAATAGAATCATTAGGTCTTGAACATATTTGTTCATATTGTTTGGGAAGGTAAGTCATCTGTTTTGATCAACTTATAGTAACTAGTTAGTTAATTTATTATTGGATGTGTTTTCACGACAACAGTATAGTGTTTCATGACAATCACTTATTGCTTTTTTATACAGTTATTACAATTATGTTTTTTTATGTCAATGACAATTCTTTCCCTTTGTACCTTGTATTCAAATTTGTGCAAAGCGATGGTGGACTAGTAACAGTTTCAGGATGTTATAACACTTGAGCTTGTCGCAGAATTACTTCAGGTCAGGAGGACAACGTCAAAATCGCTATGCTCCCCCAAATCCCGGTGACAACGACTCATTTTCCCCAAATTCCTACGTTCCCCCAAATCCCGGTAATGACGGCGTCCTTCCCCCAAATCCAGGTAAAGACGATGTCCTTCCCCCAAATCACGGTGACACTGACTGCGATCTTGCCACCCTTAGGGAGATTCTGAGACATAAGACTGCCCTCCTTGGTATTATTCGGAAACTTGATGCTGGCCTCTTTGGTGGTATTCAAAAAATCGACCTCGCTGTCCTCCGTGAGATGCAGGCTGACCCTGCTGAATGGGATCCTGCCATCATTGATGCGATTTGTAAATTGTCTTTGGAAGAAAAGGATGAAAGTGAAGAAGAGGTCAAGGTTAGTTGTGGTGGGCCAGAAACTGAAATCATAAATGAGAATAGATACAAGACACAGAGCGAAGAGAGGGATGGAGGAGGAGGAGAAAATAAGAATGAGAATGGTGGTGAGGTGCAGAAGAAGGTTGATGAAGAAAGAAGCAGAAGACATCATTACCCAGTGAGGCCTCCTGGGGCTAGAGACTCTTCGCATAACCTAAAGACCGGGACTCATCAGTTTGGGTCCAATTGCAAGTTTAACCTCACTCGTAGAAGCAAAAACAATCAGGTATATCTCTCTTCTTTTGCCTTCAGCACTTGCATATGTATGTTTATGGTTGAGAGATTGAGACTTTTTATGTTTGCCTGGCCTCAGTTATCATTATTTGGACTGAGAATTGCTGGCAGAAAAACCATGCCTGTGTTTCTAACTTTCTATAGGTTTATTGGTTTTGTCGTTAGTGTACATGTATGTGTGCATGTGTTATAAATTATAATGTATTGATTGGTTAGTATATTATGCTGTGATGATGATGACTTTTTTCAGCGGAATTGACTTGAAATAAAGGGACGCACCACTTTCATATTTGCTAAAAATATTGCCTTAGAATAGATTTTTGCGTTGATTCAATGCTTGTTACTTTTTGTTGTAACTGAAATCCTGAAACTGGCTTGTCTCTTTTACATTCATCTTTGTGGTGAAATTTGTTGTGCCAGAGAAATGGGGACTTTTGGTCTACCTTAGTGTTTGAGACATTAATGTTTCTGGCCTTGTATGATTGCAGGAAATATTTCTGTTCATGGTGCTCACTTTCTGTTTGTTGGTGTTTTGAAATTTCTCATGTTAATTGAAGGTTTCAAAGAACAAGATGAAGGAAAGGGAAGGGTTGGCAGAGAAGCCAGGCAAGACAGAATGCAAGGTTATTATCGTTATGATTCTCAGAAACTATCTGAAGTTATGGTTGCAATTGTTTGATCTTCATATCTAGATTTTCTTTTACATGCATTTTTGTGGTGAAATTTGTTGTGCCAGAGAAATGGGGACTTTTGGTCGACCTTAGTGTTTGAGACATTAATGTTTCTGGCCTTGTATCATTGCAGGAAATATTTCTGTTCATGGTGCTCACTTTCTGTTTGTTGGTGTTTTGAAATTTCTCGTGTTAATTGAAGGTTTCAAAGAACAAGATGAAGGAAAGGGAAGGGTTGGCAGAGAAGCCAGGCAAGACAGAATGCAAGGTTATTATCGTTATGATTCTTAAAAACTATCTGAAGTTGTGGTTGCAATTGTTTGATCTTCATATCTAGATTTTCTTTTACATACATTTTTATAGTGAAATTTGTTGTGCCAGAGAAATGGGGACTTTTGGTCGACCTTAGTGTTTGAGACATTAATGTTTCTGGCCTTGTATCATTGCAGGAAATATTTCTGTTCATGGTGCTCACTTTCTGTTTGTTGGTGTTTTGAAATTTCTCATGTTAATTGAAGGTTTCAAAGAACAAGATGAAGGAAAGGGAAGGGTTGGCAGAGAAGCCAGGCAAGACAGAATTCAAGGTTATTATCGTTATGATTCTCAGAAACTGTCTGAAGTTATGGTTGCAATTGTTTGATCTTCATATCTAGATTCTGTTTTACTTCATATATTTGGTATTACGTAGTATCTTAGTTTTTTTGTGGGTTTCAGAGTTTGGTTTTCTGTAAGTCCGTTGGTTAGCTTGCATTATTGAATAAATAAGCTAAAACCTTAACTTATAGACAACTATAGAATCATTAGGTCTTGAACATTTTGTTTGGGAAATGAGTCATCTGTTTTGATCAAGTTATAGTAACTACTCAGTTAATTTATTATTGGATGTGTTTTCAAGACAACTTTGTACTGTTTCATGACAATCACAGTTACTGTTTTTTATACACTGATTACAATTATGTTTTTAGATGTCAACGTCAATGACAATTCTTTCCCTTTTGTACCTTGTATTCAGATTTGTGTAATGCGCATGGTGGACTAGTAACAGTTTCATGATGTTATAACACTTGAGCTTCTCGCAGAATTACTTCAGGTCAGGAGGACGTAAATCCGGAAATGCTTGTGCTTTAAACCCCAGAAGAGGGGAAGCTTCTGTAGCTCCAATTCTAGAAAACTTTATGGGCCTGCCAATTCGTCCGGTATAAATTCTAGGTTTAATCTTCAAAATTTTGAGGAATGAATATCTATTTATGATATTTATGATTTATGATTTTATCTTTGCGTATTTTCTTGGTCTTTTGGAGCTATTATCATGTCTCAGTCTGTTCTGTGAATAGTTATTTTAATGTGTTACAGGGGGAGAAAGACTGTCCCTGCTATATGCGAACTCTCTCCTGTATGTATGGAATGAAGTGCAGGTTTAATCACCCTGATCCTACACCTGCAGGAGAATCTGACCCCCCATCTGGAAATGGTAATGGTGGACCTGCATCATTACAAGGTGCATCGTCAGCAACAGCAGCACGATGGTATGCACCAATATCATTGAACAATGCTCCACTTTATGAGCCAATAATGATTCCGCCATCTCAAGAGTTTCCTTCTCAAAATACAGAATGGAATGGTTATCAGGTAGTCTTCGGTGTCAGTAACTGTCATCACTTTGATATACCAATTAACATTGTTTAAGGGATAAGATTTCAAGTAAGATCTTTTCATTAAACTAGTAATATGGCCTCTCTCTCGCATTAAATTAGTAATAGAACTACTACTGTTCTCTTTTGCATTTTTGCATGCATGCTTTTCCCTTCATTTTCTTTTTTTGGTTGTGGCATGTTTAGGCTCCAGAAAGTAGCATGCCTGCACCTCCACCATATTTTATGAACCACTCAGTGACTGAAACCAACACCTATGAACAATATCCACAACAGAAGCAAGTTCAAGAATTCCCAGAGCGACCTGGGCAACCTGTTTGCATGTACTTCTCAAGAGCTGGGGATTGCAAGCATAAATCTAATTGCAAATATCACCATCCAAAAAATCAGACTGCAGTGCCCCCCTCATGTGCACTGAGCGACAAGGGCCTGCCTTTGAGACCAGTAAGTTCACTTTTCTTTGAATTGTGCTTTTAAATTGAATATATAATTATGGAATATGATCTAATAAGTACCTGTTGTACAAATTTTTGAAGTGATGGAATAATAATTGGAAAACTCAAAATTGTGAAAGTTTTTAGCTTCCTTTTAATAAGTTAGCAATGTGGCAAAAAAAAATGTTCATTACTGATACAAATTTGACCTTGGGAAAACATTGTAGTGAAAGTTGTGGACATCTCTCTTTCCTACATAAAGAATCTTGACTAACCATGAGAGCCTATGTTTGATCACATATTACGCTTCATTATTGCTTGTCATTGATCACACAAATTTTGTACTAAATTTGTAATCCCAGGGTCAGAACATCTGCACACAGTACAGTGCGTATGGCATTTGCAATTCTGGGCCAGCTTGTAAATTTAACCATCCGTCATTATGATCTTCCCTTCTGTGACTCGATGACTACAAATGGGGCAGGAACATCCGAGAGTATAAATAGAACTGATGCTACAATCAGCCGCAGGCTGTGTAAATAAGTTTGCATGAAATGGCTTTTAGAGCACGTATCTCTTTTTGTTATGTAGTAACTTTTTCTCCCAGCTGCCACAGGCCTTTCAGTTTCGGATGTGAGAACTTAATGGAAACAGGGCATGTAAATAATTTCGTATTTATGTCATGTTACCCGAAAATCCAAGTTTAATTCGGAATTTCCTCTGAATTTTATGGTTACGGTCTCTTCACGGGTATCTTCAATTGGCCACTTCTATAATGGATAACTTTTTAGTCGCGAAATGTGTGATATTTACCTCCAAACCAAACTAAACCAAATAAATGACTGCCAACAGGGAGAGACTCTCATGCAATAGGGACATTACTTTTTGCTATTTTCGGGACAATAACCCGTGGAATAACTTTTTCAAGTATCATTATATTATTGGTCGGGGTTAGCAAAAGTGTTATCTCCATTACAAATTTTTTTAGCAAACATGGGAGAGGAGAGGTTTTCTTTCAATTAGTGAGTTATGAGGGGTGGTAATTTCCAATACTACTCAATACATGACTCGAAACCCACACAAAAAGTTAGCATGTCAACTTGCACGATTAAATTTTCAGAGCATTTTTGGGTCATACTGTCATGACTTGTTTAATAAACGGTTGGGTTTCAGGTCAACCCACCATGACTCGTTTAATAAACGGTTGAGTTTCAAGTTAACCTGCCAACTCAATAAAATACCTATGTAAGCAGTTTATTAAACGGGTTGTGTCAACTACACATAACCCATTTCTTTGTTTCTTCATATTTTCATCATTTTCTAATTTATTTTATTTCTCTTCCTTAATCTTCATACATATATATAGAGGCAAAGTGCAGTTACTTGATTAAATTATCAAATTTCAGGTTTTTTCTTGTGAAATTGAGATGTGGGTCTTTGTTTTTTTGTTTATTCTTTCTTTTTATTTGTTTTTACTTATTACCCAATACTCAATTATGCAAGTGATTCTTGTATGGGTCATATATATATATATATATATATATATATTTAGCCAATACCCAATTATGCAAGTGGTTTTGAAAAAAGGAAAAAGCATATTTATTTTTTTTTTTTTTTTTTTTTTTTTTTTTCTAGCCTTGCTTTTAGTTTACTAGTTGCTACTACTTATTGACCAAAGAAAAAAGTTACTAGTTGCTACCACACATGGGAGAACATAAACTGAAGGCATGTTATCAATTCAAGTTAATTTATTGCAAGATTTTAGAAAAGAAAAAATTATTTCTTTTGGTCAAATTATGATAAGAAATCAAATATAGCAATTATTATAATTTGTTAAATATGTTATTAACTAGGTAACTTGTTTAATACGACCTGAATTTGACACAATAAATTTATCAAATGAATCGAGTTTGAATGGAGCATTCTTAACATATTTATTATCCCGATATAACACAATTCAACACTACACAACCCATTACCAGCCTCAGGATTGAGACTTGAAGACGTGGATGATGATCTCACTCAAAAGACGTAGTTGTGTTGACCACATAACATTAATGTTATGTATCGAACTTGGAGACGTTTTATGTATAGGTTATCGTCTAGTACACAAGTGAACATTATTCTCACCAATTAGAAACACAGCCATATCACAAAACCGCCAAGTATGATGTGGCATCTGAGAAAAAATATTAAATACTACTTTTGCTACGAAAGAAGAGAGATCGAGTTGATTCATAGAGAATAGAGTGATACTGAAATAAGTTTGTAAAATTACAACAAAAATAAAAGTTTTTGACCATGTCAGATTTATGAAGCCAAGCTACCTCCCCAAAAAACACAGGCAAAAAATTATCTGTGATTCCATAGTTTGCAAAAGAAGCCAAAATGGACAAAATTGTCTTTATTTATTTTGTGGATTTTTTAAGGAATCTTTTACATTTGCATGTCTTTGATTTGAAAGTTGAGAGATTTTTTTGTCTTTTTTAGCTTTTTCCAAAAGAATTTTTTTTTATTAAAACCTAAATTTACTTTTAAATTTTCACAATTTAATCACGTACTACTAATTTTGTCAAATATAATTTGTTTGGCAAATTTCCGTCCAAAATATCATTTTACATAAGTGACACGTACTTATTCCATCACAAAATTAAACGAAAATTTGGATGCATTCTTGAATTATAAAGGATGTCAAATTACATGAGTCAATTTGCTAGAATTGAAATCACACTGAAAACTACGAGGAAGGGAATTACCGTAGTTAGGGAGAACGGGTGGTTAATGATGAAAAACAAAACAAAATCAAGAACAGTACGAGGATAAACGATGAAAACCAAACAAGGGTATTACTCATTATCATGGGGGAGTCTCCCCTTTTCCAAAAGCAGCTTTGGAACCCAATACAAAAGAAAGCAAAAAAGCATATGATTCTGACTTGACAAATCAAAACAGAACACTGGCTCAAACTCAGTGCCCTTGTTGTGATCAGATGAGTGAGGATGTGCAGGGTGCAAGCAAGCAACCATTGTTGCTTAGTCAACAGCAAACCCAGCAATCCAGCTTCCTTCATCCATCACTAATAATAATAATTTAATTAATTCTCCGCCCCCAGGAAAAAACAAAAAAACAAAAACACGATCACCAGTGATGTTGCCAGCTGCAGCTGTACGTGTCCTGATCCCAGTGTCAGCGTCTGTGATTTACGTAATTTATAGGTATTTGAGATCAGGACGGCAAATAGAGAGCTCTCCAAATACCAGTAACAATGACGTCGTTCCACCCCCAAATTCCGGCAACAGCGACGTCGTTCACTATCCTGAACTGTCTGATCGCGATCGTACCATCCTTGAAGAGATTCTGAACAACGACGTCCTCCTCGATAAGATTCGGGCAATCGAGCCCGCCTTCCTTGATGGGCTTCGGAAAATCAAGCCCGCCGTCCTCCGTGAGATGGTGTTCGACTCTGCTGAATTGGATCCTGTCATCGTTGATACGATTTGTAAATTGTCTTTGAAAGGAGGAAAGGAGGAAGGCGAACAAAACGAAAATGGAATTGTAAACGAGACGAAGAGCGAAGAGAGGGATGAGGAAAGAAGCAGAAGCCGTCATTTCTCAGTGAGGTCTGGAGCTCGAGACTGTTGCTGTTATCTCGAGACTGGGACTTGTAAGTTTGGGCCCAATTGCAAGTTTAATCACCCTTGCATAACAACGAAAAACAATCAGGTATATCTCTCTTCTTTCGCCTTCGGCATTTGCATATGTATAATGTTATGTTTATGGTTGAAAGATTGAGACTTTTTATGTTTGGCCCGGCCTTCGTTTATCATTATTTGAGCTGAGAATTGCTGGCAGCAAAGCTATTTCTGTGATTCTATAGGTTTATTGGTTTAGTCATTAGTGTATTTGTATGTATTCATCGGTGAGTATATTATGCTGTGATGATGATGATTTTTTACCGTGGAATTTAACTAGTATCACTTTCATATGCTTTTTTTCTTCCACAAAAATCTTTGTGGTGAAATTTGTTGTGCCCCCGGAGAAATGGGGACCTTGGGTCTGCCTTAGTGTTTGAGACATTAATGTTTCCCGGTTGTATGATTGCTGTTCTTAGTGCTCCTCTCTTTATGTTTGTTATTATCGTTATGATTCTCAGAAACTTTCTATCTTAAGTTATGGTTTTTACTGCAATTGTTTGATCTTCATGTCTAGATTTTGTTTTATTTCATATATTTGGTATTAAGTTGTATCTCACTTTTTTGTGTTTTGATGATGGGGTTTCTGAGTTGGTTATCTGGTTAGCATGCATAATTGAATAAATAAGCTAAAAAGTTTTAACTTTTGGACAACTTTAGAATCATTAGGTCTTGAACATATTTGTTCATATTGCTTGGGAAGGTAAGTCTGCTGTTTTGGTCAGCTTATAGTAACTAGTTAGTTATTTTATTATTGGATGTGTCTTCACGACAATTATATAGTGTTTCATGACAATCACTTATTGCTCTTTTATACAGTTATTACAATTATGTTTTTAGATGTCGATGTCAATGACAATTCTTTCCCTTTGTACCTTTTATTCGAATATGTGCAAAGCGAATGGTGGACTAGTAACAGTTTCATGATGTCATAACACTTGAGCTTGTCGCAGAATTCCTTCAGGTCAGGAGGACGACATCCAAATCTCTACACTACCCCAAATCCCGGTAATGACAACGTCTTTCCCCCAAATCCCGGTGACCCTGACCGCGAAAATGGAAATGGAAACAAGACACAGAGCGAAGAGAGGGATAAGGAAAGAAGCAGAATTCATCATTACCCGGTGAGGTTTGAAGCTGGAGACTGTTGGTCTTATCTAAAGACTGGGACTTGTAATTTTGGGCCCAGTTGCAAGTTCAATCACCCTTGTAGAAGGAAAAACAGGAAAAACAATCAGGTATATCTCTCTTCTTTCACCTTCAGCATTTGCATATGTGTGTTTATGGTTGAATGATTGAGACTTTTTATGTTTGCCCCGGCCCTTGGTTATCATTAATTGAGCTGAGAATTGCTGGCAGCAAAGCCATGTATGTGATATAGGTTTGTTGGTTTAGTCATTAGGGTATATGTATGTGTGCATGTGTTATAATGTATTCATCGGTGAGTATATTATGCTGTGCTGATGATTTTTGTCAGTGGAATTTACTCGAAATGAAAGGACGCACCACTTTCGTATTTGCTAAAGATAATCTTGCCATAGAAGATATTTTTGCATTGATTCAAAGCTTGTTAACTTTTTGTTGTAGCTGAAAGCCTGAAACTGGCTTTTTTGCTTTTACATACATCTTTTTGGTGAAATTTGTTGTGCCAGAGACACGGGGACTTTGGGTCTGCCTTAGTGTTTGAGACATTAATGTTTCTGGCCTTGTATGAATGCAGGAAATATTTTTATTGTTGGTGCTCACTTTCTGTTTGTTGGTGTTTGAAATTTATCATTTTGATTGAAGGTTTCTAAGGCCAGACAGAATGCAAGGTTATTATCATTATGATTCTCAGAACTTTCTATCTGAAGTTATGGTTTTTACCTGCAATTGCTTGGTCTTTATGTCTAGATTTTGTTTTCCTTCATATATTTTTATCAAGTAGTCTCTCAGTTTTTCATGTTTTGATGATGGGGTTTCAGAGTTTGGTTATCTGAAAGTTTGTAGGTTAGCATGTGTAATTGAATAAATAAGCTAAAACCTTTTATATTTTAGACAACTATAGAATCATTAGGTCTTGAACATATTTCTTCATATTGTTTGGGAAGGTTTGTCATCTGCTTTGATCAACTTATAGTAACTAGAGTTAAATTATTATAGGATGTGTTTTCGCGACACGGTAAACTGTTTCATGACAATCAGTTATAACTTTTTTAGTGATTACGACTTTTTTTAGATATCGATGACAATTCTTTCCCTTTGTACCTTATATTCAAATCTGTGCAATATGCATGATGGACTAGTAACAGTTTCATAATGTTATAACACTTGAGCTTGTCACAGAATTACTTCAGATCAGGAGGATGTAAACCCGGAAATGCTTTTTCTTTCAATCCCAGAAGAGGGGAACCTTCTGTGGCTCCAGTTCAAAAACTTAACTTTATGGACCTGCCAATTCGTCCGGTATAAATATCTATTAATGAAGTTTAAGATCTATTATTTTACTTTTTGCTTAATTTCTTGGTCTTTTGGAGCTATAATCATGTCTCAGTCTATTCCCTGAATATTTATTTTTACATGTTACAGGGGGAGAAAGAATGTCCTTACTATATGAAAAATGGCTCCTGCAAGTCTGCAACTAACTGCACGTTTAATCACCCTGATCCTACCACTATAGGAGAATCTGGTCCCCCATCCGGATACATTGATGGCGGACCTGCACCAGTACAAGGTGCATCGTCATCAACAGCAGTACAAGGTGCATTGTCATCAACAGCATGGGATTCCCTTTGTGTGCCAATGATTCCGCCATCTCAAGGGATTCCTTCCCATACAGAATGGAATGGTTCTCAGGTACTTTTATTCATCACTCCCACATTATAGTGTTGGGTGTTATCTCTCTCTCTCTCTCTCTCTCTCTCTCTCTCTCTCTCTCTCTCTCTCTCTCTCTCTCTCTCTTTTTAATGTGATAGTGGCCAGTTGTAGTCATCTGTTTATTTGTTGATATATCTGTCCATTCAAACCTTTTAATGGGCATCCCTATTAATTTGTGGGTATTATTACTTCTTGAGTCGTTAAGCTATGGTGAGTCCTGATGAGGAAAGTATGAAACTTTTCCTGATTATGTTACGAATCACATCCTGTGATGCTGTTCAATTTGCACCAAACAATTTTTTCTTGTGCATGGATATGTAGAATATATAGAACTGCTACATTTTCGCTTGCATGCTTTCCCCTTCAAATTTGTTTTGGTTGTGGCATGTTTAGGATCCAGAATATCTACCAGAGAGAAGCATACCTGCACCTCCACCATATGTTATGAACAAGGCTGTGACTGAAACCAACATCTATGAACCAAATCCACAGCAGAAGCAAGTGGAAGAATTCCCGGAACGACCTGGGCAGCCTATTTGCAATTACTTCTTAAGAAAAGGGGATTGCAAGCATAGATCTAATTGCAAATATCACCATCCAAAAAACCAGACTGCGGTGTCCCCTTCATGTGCACTGAGTGACAAGGGCCTGCCTTTGAGACCAGTGAGTTCGCTCTTCTTTGGAGTGTGCTTTTTAAAGTATTACATAATTATGGAATATGATCTATCAAGTACCTGTTGCACAATTTTTAAGTGATGGAATAATTGGAAATTTCAAAATTTTGCAAGTTTTTAGCTTCCTTTGGATAAATTAGCATGTGCCACGAAAATATTCATTACTAATACAAATTTGATATTGGGAAATACTTGTGTTGAAATTTGTGGACACATCTCTTTCTACGTAAAGAATCTTGACTAACCATGAGAGCCTATGTTTGATCACTTATTACGCTTCATTATTGCATGTTATTGATCGCACAAAATTTTGTACTAAATTTTGTTTCAAATCCAGGGTGAGAACATTTGCACACAATACAGTAGCTATGGCATTTGCAATTCTGGGCCAGCTTGTAAATTTGACCATCCGTCATTATCAACTTTCCTTCTGTGACTCGGCGACTACAAATGGGGCAGGAACATCTGGGAGTAGAAGTGAACTGATGCTACAATTCAGCCGCAGCTTGTGTAATAAGTTTTGCCTGAAATAGCTGCTGGAGCACAGGATTCGCATCACCAAGGACGTGTAATCTCTTTTTGTTAGTCTTATAAATGTATCAAACTTTTTCTCCCAGCTGCCACCTTTCACTTCTGTTATGGATGACTTTTAGGTCACAATAGAAATGTGTACTATTGACCTCCAAACCAAACGACTGCTAACACACATTCCAAAATAGAAAATCCGACAAATTACATGGAAAAAATGAGTTTTTCTATTTAAATTCAGCACTTCTCTTTGTTCCCCCTATATTCTAAGTTCACCCCAACTTCTAATTTTAATTTTCACAATTTCTAAAAAAACCTCTCTATCTTCTCAAATTACCCCTAAATACATACCTAAAAAAAATTTAATTAAAAACTTGTCAACCTCACACTTCACACCCTGTTATTTTGCCCATCACCACTCTTAGTTCACATCAACTTCGCATTACTTAAAGAGATAAAGACACTATTATCAAATGTAGTAGCAGGATTATTTTTTAAATTTAAAAAAAAAAAATTGAGAATGAACTAGGAGGTTTTGATAAAGAAGATGAAAGTGTAGTAGATTTCTTAGATTGAAAGAGAATAGTAATCTGGTAATAGAGTGTAGAGGAGTTTGTATTTTTCTAAAATTTAATATGAAAAGTGATGAAGTATGAAGAATGTGTATAGATGTACTAGAGATTTCATTTTTTCATTTTTTATAGCCTACTCTAAGGGGAGGGGGGCCTCAAGCACCAATGTGCACACATGGGGTTTCGGTCGGGAGTGTCATGGGGGGAAAGGGAAAGTCACCACTACTGTGGTAGAATTCATTGGCATATATATGTACTAGAGTTAAGTATTAAATATTTTTTTTTTTTTTTTTTTTTTTTTTTTTTTTTTTTTTATAAAATTTAAGAGATTTTTTATTTTTATTTTTGGAAGAAAAATTTAAAAACTTAATAATTTAAATAATTAGGAAAGAAAGAAAAAAAAAAAAAAAAAAAGTTTAAATAAAAAAACTCGAAAAAAAATTGAAAAGGAAAAAGCAGATGACTTTGACTTCACCAATCAGAACAGAATACTGGCTCAAAACTCAATGCCCTGGTGATCAGATGAGCGAGGATGTGCAGAGTGCAAGGCAAGCAAGCAACCATAGTGGTAGTTGGTGGTTGCTAAGTTGACAGCAAACCCAGCAACCCAGTTTCCTTAATCCATCACTAATATTTAAGTAATTCTCAAAAACACGATCAGCAGTGATGTTGCCAGCTGCAGCTGTAGCTGCACGTCTCCTACTACCAGTGTCAGTGTCAGTGGTTTACGTACTTTATAAGTACTGGAGATCTGGACGGCAAACAGAGAGCTGGGTTCCCCCAAATCGCGGTAACAACGACGATGTTCCCCCGAACTCCGGTAACAACGGCGTAGTTCCCCCAAATTCCGTCGTTCGCCCGAAGTCCAGTAAGAACGACGTCGTTCCCTCTGATGGCGATCTTGCCATCGTTGAAGAGATTCTGAAAAATGACCATGTCTTCCTTGATAAGATTCGGACACTTAACCCCGCCGTCCTTGATGAGCTTCTGAAAATCGACCCCGTCGCCCTTGATGCGCTTCTGAGAATCGACCCCGCCGTTCTCCGCGACTCTGCTGAATTGGATCCTGCCATCATTGATGCGATTTGTGAACTGTCTGAGAAAGAGGAAGGTGACGAGGAGGCCGACTGGAGTTGTAGTCGGCCAGTAACTGAGAGCTCTCTAGTCATCGGGGTTCCCACAAATTCCGGTAACAACGACGTCGTTCCCTCAAATTCCGGTAACAACGACGTCGTTCCCCCAAATTCCGGTAACAACGACGTCGTTCCCCCAAATTCCGGTAACAACGACGTCGTTCCCTGTCCTGAACTGTCTGATCGCGATCTTGCCATCCTTGAAGAGATTCTGAAAGATGACCCTGACCTCCTTTATGAGATTCGGACACACGACCCCGCCGTTATTAATGAGCTTCGGAAATTCGATCCCGCCGTCCTCCGTGAGATGGTGTTCGACTCTGCTGAGGTGGATCCTACCATCATTGATGCGATTCGTAAATTGTGTTTGAAACGAAAGGAGGAAGATGAACAAGAGGCTAAGGGGAGTTGTAGTGGCCGAGAAACTGTAAGCGAAAACGAAAATGGAAACGAGACACAGAGCCAAGAGAGGGATGAGGAAATAAGCAGAAGCCGTCATTACCCATTGAGGCCTGAAGCTCCAGACTGTTCGTATTATCTAAAGACTGGGACTTGTAAGTTTAGGTCCAATTGCAAGTTTAATCACCCTCGCACAACAACGAAAAACAATCAGGTATCTGTCTTCTTTCGCCTTCAGCATTTGCGAATGTATGATATAATGTATGTTTATGGTTGAAAGGTTGAGACTTTTTATGTTTCCCCGGTCTCGGCCTCATTTCAGCTGACAATTGCTGGCAGCAGCAAAGGCATGTCTGTGTTTCTATAGGTTTATTGGTTTAGTCGTTAGTGTATGTATAATGTTGTATACGTTCATGTGTTGTTATAGTGTGAAGACTGTATTTATGGGTTAGTATATTATGCTGTGATCATAATTTTTGTCCGCGGAATTGACTCGAAATGAAGGGACGCACCACTTTCATATTTGCTAAAAAATGATATAGCCATAGAAGATATTTTACTTTTGCTTGTAGCCGAAAGCCTGGAACTGGCTTTTTCTTTTGCGTACATCTATGTGGTGATAATTGTTGTGCCAGAGAAATGGGGACATTGGGTCCGCCTTAGTGTTTGAGACATTAATGTTATACCACTTGAGCTTGTTGCAGGATTACTTCTGGTCAGGAGGACGTAAAGACGGAAGAGATGGTAGTTTCAACCCCAGAAGCAGGGAACCTTCTGCAGCTCCATTTGTAGAAAACTTTATGGGCCTGCCAATTCGTCCGGTATAAATTTTAGGTTTGATCTGCAAAATTTTGAGGAATGAATATATATTAATGATCTTTAAGATTATGATTTTATCTTTGTGTATATTCTTGGTCTTTTGGAGCTATTATCATGTCTCAGTCTCTTCTTTGAATATTTATTTTAACGTGTTACAGGGGGAGAGAGACTGTCCCTACTATATGCGAAATCTCTCCTGCGGGTATGGTTTAAGCTGTAGGTTTAATCACCCTGATCCTACACCTGCAGGAGAATCTGAACCCCCATCTGGATATGGTAATGGTGGACCTGCATCATTGCAAGGTGCATCATCATCAACAGCAGCACAATGGTCTGCTCCAAGATCATTGAACAATGCTCCACTTATAATTCCACCATCTCAAGGGATTCCTTCCAGAAATACAGAACACAATGGTTATCAGGTACTTTTATTCATCACTCCCGTATTATAGTCATCAGTTTCAGTAACTGTCATCACTTTGATATACAATTTAACATTTTTTAAGGGATAAGATTTCAAGTAAGAAACTTTTTTCCAAAAAAAAAAAAAAAAAAACCATTTTAGTATGGCCTCTCTCTCTTTCTCTCTTCCATGTTGTGGCACGTTTAGGCTACAGAAACAAGTATGCCTGCACCTCCACCATATGTTATGAACCACTCAGTGACTGAAACCAACGCTTATGAACAATATCCACAGCAGCAGCAAGTTGAAGAGCTCCCACAACGACCTGGGCAACCTGTTTGCATTTACTTCTCAGCAACAGGGGATTGTAAGTTTAAATCTAATTGCAAATATCACCATCCGAAAAATCAGACTGCAATGTCCCCCTCATGTGCACTGAATGACAAGGGCCTGCCTTTGAGACCAGTAAGTTCACTTTTCTTTGAATTGTGCTTTTCAAAAGTGAATACATATTATGGAATATGATCTAACAAGTAGCTGTTGTACAATTTTTTCAAGTGATGGAATAATTGGAAAATTCAAAATTTTGCAAGTTGTTGGCTTCCTTTGAATAAATTAGCAGTGTGCCATAAAGATGTTCATTACTAATACAAATTTGACCTTGGGACAAAATTGTAGTCAAAGTTATGGACATCTCTCTTTCAACATAAAGATTCTTGACTAACCACGACAGCCTTTTTTTAAATCACATATTACACTCCATTATTGCATGTCATTGATCACACAAATTTTGTGTTAAATTTGTAATCCCAGGGTCAGAACATCTGCACACAATACAGTACCTATGGCATTTGCAATTCTGGGCCAGCTTGTAAATTTGACCATCCGTCATTATGAACTTCCCTTCTGTGACTCGACGACTACAAATGGGGCATGAAGATCTGGGAGTAGAAGTAGAACTGATGCTACAATCAGCCGCATCCTGTGTAATAAGTTTTGCATGAAATGGCTGTCATAGCACAGAATTCGCATCACCAAGGACATGTGATCTCTATTTCTTCTTTAGTCTTAGAAATGTACTGTACTTTTTCTCCCAGCTGCCACAGGCCTTTCAGTTTCGGGTGTGAGAACTTAATGGAAACAGGACATGTAAATAATTTCGTAGTTATGTCATTTTACCAGAAAATCCAAGTTTAATTCGGAATGCCCTCAGAAATTTATGGCTACAGTCTCTTACGAGTATCTTCAATAGGCCACTTCTGTAATGGACTGCCAATAAGGGAGAGAAGGGGGGTTTTCTTTTAACCAGTAGGAGATGGGGATTCAATCTGTTCCTCCTGAGATGAATTAGCTTCAGGGCTTGGTAGGAGCTGATGAGATTCATACAAGGTCCTGCTGCAACCATATATATTTCTAGTGCAATTTCCACAGAACTAAGCAGTGAACTCCAGGTACAATAGTAATATATTTTACTCTTATTAGTAATAGAGTGATATTGTTGTGCCCAAGTATTAAACTGAGAACCACAAATTTCTGTATGTATATATTACAAATTTTTATGTTTACCAGTCCTCTTTTTCATTCTATATAACAAAATATATATGCAAAACCTTTTGAAACATATATATATAGAAGACAAAAGAAGACAAAATCAAGCACAAGTGAAAAGGAAAGGAAGGAACAAAAAAAAACTGTCTATATATGAGAATTTGCTGTTCCACATCTTTCCCAGGCACTGGAAAGTGTCTTTGCTTGTAGCTCCTCCCAGTCCCACCTAATATATTGCATTATCATCACCATGCCCAAAAAGCAGTTGATTTATGTCAACCACAGCAAAACCATCTCTTCTGCAATATTCAATCAGAAAAACAACAGTGCTCTGAGAAATAGTGAAAAAATGGCATTGACAGACACAACCCAAAAGTCACATTCCGTGAGCACCTCTAGTATTCGTTCTACCTTTGAGGAAGGATATTTGGGATAATGCTCATTGACAGTGTTGTATCCAGCACCATTTCTTCGTAGGCTGCCGTCAGTTTTTCGTGGGGTGACCATCTTCACTTGAGCTGCACTGGTCTTCTTTTCATCTCTGGCCTTGTTGAATATAACAGTAAATCCTTCAGCTGAAGCTGGGTTATTTACATCCCACTCCCCAAATTTAGGTAATGGCCGACCTTTATCCTGCTGAATTATTGAAAAAGAAGAAGCTCCCGTTAGTATCTACCACACCAACTAGCTAGGTCATCTGTCTCATTGTGATGTTCGTTGCCCATTACGATTTATACAAACATACGTGTGCGCGCACACATATTGATACTAATTGTTCCATAAAGATCGGAAGAAAAAAAACATGTTTTTGATGAAACCTATATCGAACCCATTTCTCCACACATCTGCCTTCCTTCGTCACCTCCTTTCTCTAACCTTTACCTTCCCTCCACATCAATCCTCTGCTTTTAGTACATAAACTGCGTGAAGACTGAGGGTTTACCATTTACCTTGCTGACTTAGTATTTAAATAACTTAAGAAAAGAATCATGAACAAACACATTGTACTGTCACAATATGATGGAGACAGGGAGGGAATATACATAATTCCTATATATTCTTACCCAATTTACTAACTTTGATCTGGAGGAATTTAAGATGTAAGATCGGTATCAATTCAATCAATTAGGGCAAAAAAATTGCACCAGAGAAACGAAAAAACAAAGAAGATGATGAAGGAAGATCCTCCATGGAAGACCAATGTTAGAGTTGCATACGTACCCAAGCATGCATGACACATTGGAATGCTAGGAATTACGGAAAGTGATTGCCTTTAGGACATTTACAATAGAAAACCTTGAATTAATTCTTAAAACCTGAAATGCTAGCCCTTTAACATAACCTAAAAACTCATTCTTTCACCTTTATGGTAAAAGAAATTGCCCAAACTTCTAAGTAAGAAATTTCACGATGAAATTAACAACATGCATGCATGCCTTGCCTGTAGATGCATAAATTTAAAATAAAACAAAACGAGGGGAAGAAGAAAAAAAATGAAGAAGATGTTACCGAAGCCATGATGGAGGGAAGGCGGGAGCTGCCGAGTGGATGGTTTGGAGGAGGAAGTTTTACAAGAAAATGAAAAAATATTATAAAGGAGAGAGAGGGGATGTTGTAGAGTCAAAAGACTCTAGAGAGAGAAACAAGGAGCGATTTGTTAGGCCATTTTAGGAGATGAGCCTTTTTGTTAATCTTGTTGATTGTTATCCTTTCTCTTCTCCCTCGTTAATGTTTGCATGTTTTGTTGCCTACGTAGCAAATATGTTGAGGTACACACGTGTACGCACCGTTTGTGTCCTCTAGAGCCATGTGTCATGGCACCTTGCTGTGCTGAACTGTAAATTATATAAAATATCGAATATATTAAAGATTACACTAGTTGACGTGGCAACCGCTTATTTATTTTCATTAGTGAAACTCAAAAATCGTGAAAATTCGTTCTTGAAACCTCAAAATTGTAAAAATTCATTCATAAAACCGCAAAATGAAAAAATTCATTCGCAAAAACCCTAAAGTGCGAAAATCCACTTGAAACACTGGAATGCAAATATATTAAGGAACTCCAAATTATAAGAGTTCATTTACAAAACTCTAAAATGCGAAAATGCATTCGAGAAACACGACAAACAAAATTTATTCACAGAACCTATAATTTCCAAAACTCATTCGCAAAGTCCCTTTTGCGAAAATTTATAGGGGATTCAGAATGCAAAATTTCATTCTTGAATAGCATTTTTTGGGCTTTGTGAATAAAGTTTCATGTCTCACTATTTCACATTTTTGCATTTTTGAATTTCATGAATGAATTATCATCTTTTGAAATTTCACGAACGAAAATTTCACCTTGAGTTTTGTTAATGAAATTTCGCTTTAATGGGTTATTTTTCGACTTTTTGAGTTCCACTAAACAACCATGCGGTACAATGAAAGCTAAGCATACTGACGATCCCCAAATTACAAAGCGCATTTGAAAGACTCGAAAATTCATTCACAAAACCTCAAAATTCAGAATCAGGCTTTTGAAGTTTGCGGTGGAGGGTTGCAGAGCTTTACAACACTCCATAGCTGAGAGAATGCTTAGCAGATTAGATGGAAGGCAAGTCCCGTAACGACTGCAAATAGACGAGGATGCCTATGGTTCAACCAGTCCAGGTATGACCAGAAAAATTAGTTTTTCGCTCTTACAATCATGAAATCATTGCAAACAGTAGAAAACATAGTTCTCAACAAATAAACATTTCTTCCACCATTTCTCAAGAAAATGTGATTGGCGAATCATTGTAATTATTTCAATGTTTAATCCAATTTATGATTTAGGGATTATGACAACTTATGTAATGCACTAGTAAATCGACGTCATTTGAACTAGAAATGCTCTGTTGGGATTTCGAATGATAAAATGGCACAACTGTGGCATCGTAAGAACTATCATGTCAGTTACAAATCATCTATTTACAGAGACAATCATCTTCTACCTTTGCCGTACATGAACAAAAAGTACAATATCATACAAGCCGTATCAGTCGAAAATATACAATCTCTGGAAAGTTGCAGTGGCCAAAAATTTCAAGGGAGGGGTGTACCGATCAGACCTCAACGTTAGCTTTGTTTCCAGCAAGAATGAGCGAGATTTCCAACCCACGGCTAAAGGCTTGGTTAAACAGAAGCCGAGACTGGAAGGTGGAGATGAATGGGAACCATGACAAGAATGCTATTGGAGCGAAAATGAGTATACCCATACCAGCATCGTACATTCTGGCAAACTCCCTTACTGAGTCCCATAAGCCCAGACTTTTGACGATCTTCTTCCAAGTGACGGCTAGCTGTTTAGGCACAACCAATTCCGATTAAAAGAAAGATGGGAAATCACAGTACAAATTGAATAACACAAGTTAAAAATGTAATATGAATGCAAGCCTAAAAGATTAACTTACGCATATTATGGCCCATCCAGTAGGAACAATTGCAAGGAAGCTTGCAAATAGGTCCGGTATTGAAAGTCCAGTAAATACAACAAGAAGAGCAATAACTGCAACAAGTCCCAAGGATGCCACACCCTGTATAAATCTCATCACTAGCTGGAAGTTGGCTGACTTTTTAGGACTGAAGGTGAAAACCTGCAATGTGAAATAGATTTAGCCATAAAGAGTACGAGTTTCACTAACATCAAGCACGCTCAAGGGCATGGGGCAAAAGGGTTAGCTTTCTTGATACAAACCTTGAAAATCATGACAATAGCTACCAATACAACCCAAGAGAAGCCGTAAATCTGGATTCCCAAAAAGAAAGAACTGTCAAGATAAGGAACAAAGAATGCCAACAATCAAAAGCATATGTCCCATCTAAAATCACAAAAAGGTTCAAGTGATATGAAGTGTACCGCAAGTGATGTGCCCTTTCCAGTTATATGGAGTTTGTACACAATGCCATATTGAAACAAGAAGAACCTCAAGCTCAAAATTGTTTCCAATATACGACCTCTCAATGTTTGAATATGCATCTGCATGAGCAGAAAAACAACTTGACATATACAACAAACAAAACAAAAAGTAAAAAGAAAAAACACTTTTTAACACAATAAAACACAATGGGGGAAGAAATTTGGCTCCACCAGTTGGCATTCAGAACAAAAGATAAAAACTTTGTTTGCAAAACTGTGGACATGAAGATCACCTTGAACATACAACACAGCTCTACATAACAACAGAATGACCCACAATCCTAAACAAACTTGATTAAAGAACAACTAACATGCAGCAGCCTCCAGTCTTAAAGAAGAGCACAAATAAATCCTTTAATAAAACCTATTCAGATGCTCGCATCATGAAAACTTATGTAAACTGAGAAATTTATTATAAAGAAAAAATAACGAAAGAACAGAAAGAACAAAAACAATTTCGTTGAAGTACAGTTGAGTTACAAACCTGCTCTTCATCCCACCAAGATTCCCAGCTATTCTCTCCCTTAACTCCTACTCCACCTCTGTAAAGAAGCCAACTGGTCCAATCATCAAAATCCTCCACCGTCCTGTTTCATTAACAAGACAACAGCTCAGTTGTTTCAAAAGAAAGTGAACTGCTTCACATAGATGAACCATACAAATTGAAAGATAACCCAAACTAAAATGTCACAGAAAAAGTAGATACAAAGATTCCACAAAAAGTGGATATTACATACTTTTGCCACTCGAAACCAGAGGGATTAAAGATATAGGGAGCAAACAACCAGGAGATGACTAGGAACCAACTACTGAGAGTTAGCAAAACGAAAGAAACAGCACCACCATCTGTATACCCATATGCAATGTAAACTATGAGAAGCAGAGCCACTTCAAACCTGCAAATATTAAGTCATGAGAACTAACAACAACAAAAAAAGGGTTTAAGAGCTTCAGGAATATAAGAGCAACCCCCCATCCAAAAAATAAAAGAAGGAAAAGAATTTATTTATTCATCATTAGAAAATGTCACTCACGCTTTGACAAAATGACTTCTAGAGTAGAGCCTATAATTCTCAGCAAACTTTATGTGACGAACAACAAAGCCTCTACCAGTAGCTCGGTACTGTTGGGGAAATGAAAAATGCAAATATAACCAATTAATTCCATAAAATAACACAAGCAAGAAAACAAAAACAGAGCTTCTAACAAAGGAGAAGTAAACCAAATACATACCTTTGCACCTCCATGGAGGATGGTGCGCCCAAAATAATGAGTTCTAGTTCCTAACGAGAACGTGAAGAACACAGAACATAACTGAAGCTGCATTGTGATAAAACTAAAAACCGCCTGCAACACATAAAAGGATTTTAATTACAAAAGCTATTAGGACTAATGCTATACATTTCCATAATTATGTATACAAATCCAGAGCCCTAGAAGCCTAAGCCTAGAGGTAATTACTTCATCTTGTGGTTTCTAGTTACGATCCTGGTAAACTAAAAGCTATAGCTAACAATGCCAAGAGTATGCAGCCCCATTGTATGATAGAATCAGAGATAGGGACGTTAAACATGAGCATGACATTGATGAGAATTAAATAGACTAACCTTCAGCAATCCCAGTTCAAGTATAAAGCCCATTACCATTGGCACTGCAGTAAAAATTCCAATTTGGACCAAGAACTGTGCATTCAAAACAGCATCCAATGCTGTGTTACCCGACAATTTTGCTTGCTTTGCAATCGCACGATCAAGTCCAGAGAAAGCCTATAAGATTTCACAAAAAGGCATCATATATAATGCATTGACATAAAGTGAACTTGTTCACCACCTAACTGATTTTTTAGTAGACAGAAAGTAACTGAGTTACTAATAAAACCCACATATGGTAATTTCCTAGCTTATAAAAAAGAAATACGAAGCAAAAGAGTAATATTAAGATACTTGTAAGTTGTGGCCAGTGACAATATTGATCTCATGTCGGTTTCTACAACAGAAAAACTTTTCAAACAGTGGCTGAACTTGGATGGAGCGCCAAAATTGGTGGCATTACCAAACCCAAATCTTCAAGTATTCAGGCAAGTCACAAGAAATAGGGAAAAAAAAATGTTGGCAAAACTTGTCTTTCCCAAAAAAAAATTAGGAGTTTTCAAAATTTTAAATTTGCATGCAATATAACTGCACAAATTTCAGGCCGAAAATGAACATAGTCAAATTTTCTGTTTTCCTAATATTTCCAGCCTCTAAAAAGTACAGAGTAATTTATAGTAAGAAATACAAGTAGTTTTTTTCTGACAAGAAACAAATGTTATTAATCAACTAGTTGTATTTAATTAATAAGACATGCATCAACTATTTATACTTTTTAAGACAAAAGTAATCAAAAAGTTCATGCATTTCTGTAACATCTCTGGGGTCTCTAGAACTCATTCATTTGAAAGATATTTTAGCTAGTCATGCAAGGTGGTTCCTACATAGCAGTGAGTATCTAAACTTGCCTAGCTATTTGATAAAATTATCTCTCCTCCAATATGGTTTAAGTTACCACTTACCAGATAAACCCTTCCATATAGGAATAT